ACGACATGGAGTATTGTGAGGAGGAGGAGCGAGGAGGGAAAGGGGTTTGGTGGAGGGGGTGTAGGTGTGGCGAGGAGAGGGGGTTTGTGCTTACTGAGAAGGATTTGGAGGGTGGTGAGGGGAAGGGGGAGGATGGGGGAGAGGTTGTGGTTGGGTGTCTTGGGTGTAGTCTTTGGGTGAGGGTTGTTTATGGGGTTGTTCTTGGTGAGGGGGAGGAAGGGGGAGAGTGAGGGCCGTCCGTGTGTGGAAGAGGAAGGTGGGGAGGGGGGGAAGTTGTGAAAACGGGGCGGTTCATGATATTTTGAGATTATGAAAAGGGGGTTCGGAGACGGTATGGATCTCCTAGGTGGGGATCGTCAGTTTGTGTGAGCTAATTTCCCGAGTGCCGCAGTGCACACCACACGCACTCGCAACGACACTGCTCGTAACATCCGCCCCCCATCTCTCCTCTGGGCCGTAATACACAGTCTACGGACATAAGCTCGGGCTTTCTCACTAATACTGCTTGAACTTTAAAGTCGTCTGAGGAGCTGTCGTGCCGATATACATTGTGCTGTGCCAATTGTTCATAGAGTCATGGGATAAGGTAATTCACTAACACCGCAACTACATCACCGGGAATAAATGGATCTAAAGTGGGCTCTGGGGTATATGGTGAATTTGCGCAGAGAGGAAGCGCGCGGCACCATCCGGAGTGCTGGAAGGTTGGAGGAATGTGTTCGTTCGGAACAACTATTCTTAGCAGTGGATGTGAAGCCCCGGGGTTGTAGTATAATATGCTCCTAAGATCTTCTCGGTAGCGGGATTCCTCCATTGCGTCCTAATGCCTAACATTAGCTGCTGGCCTACTTTGCTGTTTCGATATGTGTTGGAGGGAGTTATCATCGGTTATAGCTCGGGTTATTAAAATCTCGGCTGTGGTCGACAAATGTCAGATTAGACCCTGGGTCTCTTGATCCCTGGCTGCGCGTACAGCGAGTTGCATTGTAATCCAATATATACGCCAGGTACTGCTTGTATTGCTACTATTTTTTATCGTGGACTACCTTAACTGGCACTGGGTGGAGGGAGAAGTACTGGTACTTGGGTATTATCCTTGGAGGTACTATGGAACTTTCAATACATTACAATATATCGCTCAAGCTTGTCGACCTTGGTCCACAATAGTTCCCACGTTTTGAGAGAAAGTCGTGATCACTGATTCACCCTTTTAAGATCTCGAGCAATGATAGAAGAAAACGGACAACTCCGTTGCCCAATGATGGGGATACTTTTTTAATTTCCAATCCCAGTATGAATGAAACTGTTCCCAACCCGAATACAAGAAGAATATTATCTACTTTCTTAACTGCCTCTGGTAGAAGGCGAGCTCTTCTCCCTCGAGAATGTACCCATCGGCACGACCGGACTGACCGGGGCGGGAAGAAATAGCGGCGTACAGACGACCAGCGGCGAATTGGGTCTCGAGGGTACTCTCGACCTTGGCAGTCGAAGCGCGAGCGGCGAGTTTGCGCTGGACTGACTTGGACTTTGTAGCAGGGGCGGTCTCTTCAGCCTTTGCTGAATCAGTTTTAGCGGCCCCGCCACGCTTCTTTCCTAGAGGAAGACCGTAATGTGCCTCGTACCTGCAACATGCATTAGTATCATCTTATAGCGCGATCCGCAAATTAGGGGGTAATTGCCATTGTCTGAAAGGTGCAGCATCAATCTGAACAATAGCCGACTTGGTCAGGGTGTTGGTACGAACCAACTCGTTGTTGGAAGGATGGAAAACGACACCAATAACACGAGTCTTCTTGCTAATACCTTCGGAGCCCCAGGAGAAGTTTCCAGCCTCCAAACGGATGGCACGGAACTTGCGATTCCCACCACGGGTACGGACGAGGTGAATTCCTAACAATTTTCGATCATGATCAGTCTTCTATTCGCTCTGTTGGAAAACCGGTCGAATAATAAAGCCACCCGCTCTAAAAAGAGTGGGGGTCTCCTTCCGAAGAAGGGGTTACGCGGAAAGTCAGGTAGACTCACGCTTAGTTCCGATACGAGTGTTGGCGGATTGGCGGCCGAGTTCGAAGGCACGCTTCTTGCGGTAAGTTGAGCGCTTTGCTCCGGTCGCGGAGCGCTTGTGGCGGGAGTCCCTGGAAATACCCATGGTTGCTGTCTAGACTGTTGAGTAGTTAGCATCAATATTATCATGGGATGAAGAGTATGGCGGGGAGAGAAGCAGTAGGAAGAGAAGCATCATTGAGAAATTGGAGATTAGTCCATGACCATAGGCCATCAATATTCCCCTCAAAGGTTCTTCTCCCCCACTCGAAGGGGAAATTGGAAAGAGCCGTCAAATCCATTCGTACCTAACGTGGGATTAATGAACCGTGTATGGGAGGGAGCGCTGAAAGCACTTGTCGTTAGTCGTCTAGGGAATAGTTGGTGTTATTGTCGTGGAGTTGGTTGACTAGAAACAGTGAGTGCAGGCTTTTCCCAAAGCAAACTTCCCCACCGTGGGTGTGGGAAGAGCAAGTCTTGGCTGTTGTGACTGGCGTTTTTAGTCAGCCAGTAGCCTCACGTGATGCCAAGATATCTAGCCTAGACGACTCATCTTGTATTTTCTCTTTCCCTCCTGACATTGCTGGCATCTCTCGTTTCTTCCATCAATCTCCTTTCGATAATTTATACACTACTCTTTTCACATTATGTCTTACTGTCACGTAATTCAATAGACCCGGCTTTCAATGTAAGCAGTTTTTACTTCCCTTTACAAGTGAAAAGTGGATAAAAACAGCGCTGGCAATCTTTTCTAAATGTTTCAAATGCTATAACAATTTGGAGAGATACCTTGTGAAGATCTATGGTCTTCACTAGGAAATAAAAACCCCATGCAAGATTAAACCCCGTCTGTTTGAGGCTTTCGTTTCTTTTTTGTGGGATGCTGGCCATAGTTGTATGGGGACATATCATGATGTCGTGGCCACTGCTGGAACTCCGCAAATACGTTTGAATTGAAATTGAGTATTGTTTCAAGCCCTCGCTTCGACATACTTACATTTCCACTGAAATCTAGGCTCGAGCTGACTCGTGCTTCGCGGGATTCTGCATGAAATCTTTCCGGCTACTGCAACTACGACCACACAGCCACCCCTGGCAAACCAAACAAACACAATGCAAGTAATAGCCTTAATATCTGGTGGAAAAGACTCCTTCTTCTCCCTCCTCCACACAGTCGCAAATGGACACGAAATAGTTGCCCTCGCAAACCTTCACCCCCCCACCACCACCGCCTCGGACCCCATCACTACTCACCTCCCCAGCACCGCCCCCTCAACTCTGCTTCCTAGCGCCCCAGGAACGGAAGATGAACTCGATAGCTTTATGTACCAAACCGTTGGCCATACCGTACTCCCACTATACCCGCACGCCCTCAAAATTCCTCTATACAGGGGGACAATAACCGGTACATCCATTAACCAAAACCTCTCATACGCACACTCCGGCAAACATGGAGACGAAACAGAGGATTTAGTGCCCTTGCTGGAGCATATCATTGCTCAGCACCCGGGTGTGAAAGGGGTTTGCACAGGGGCAATATTATCCACGTACCAAAGGACTCGGGTAGAAAGTGTCTGCGAGCGCCTGGGCCTAATCTCGTTGGCTTACTTATGGCAGCGGGAGCAGGCGGAGATTCTAGCAGATATGGAAGCCGTGGGGCTCGATGCTAGGATTGTCAAGGTTGCAGCGGTGGGACTCAATCCCGAAGAGTGGCTGTGGGAGAACGTGGTTGAGGAGCGGAGGAGGAGGATGTTAGGTAGGTTGGAGAGGAAATGGGGGGTTCATGTTGCGGGGGAAGGGGGGAATATGAGACTGTTGTTGTCCAAGGGCCCGGATGGAGGGGGAGAATTGAAGTTCCAGAGGAGGGGAGGGAGGTTGTTAGGAGCGGAGGCGGGGTTGGGCATTTGAAAATTACGAAGGCCAACTTTGCACCGGGGAAGGGGGTGGTGGTGGAAGCAGAAAAGGGGGACTGGGTAAAAGGTCTACGGATACCAAGTATCTGGGACACGGATTTCGAACGGATTCTCAAGAATATCATTTCTAAACTCCCAAAAACACCCCTCTCTGCCCACCCTCCACCCTCCCCGCACCCTCCCTCCCGTCTCAACCCGCCCCCAAAACCTTCAGTGTCAACCTTCTCTCAAATCCTCTTTATAAACAACCTTACCTCCCCACCTCCTTCCCCCACCTCTCCCCACCAAAGCATAACAACCGAAACATCCTCCCTTCTCCAAACCCTTTCTTCCCTCCTCGCCGCGCATGGCGCCTCGTTCAAACACATAACATCCTGCACCCTCCTCCTCCGGCAAATGTCCCACTTCCCCTTAATCAACTCCACCTACCTCACCTACTTCACCTCACCTCTTCCCCCCTCTCGAATATGCATCTCCGTCGGCGACCTCCTCCCACAAGGGATGAACATGATGCTGAGCGCAACAGCTGATATCCTCCCCCCTTTGTCCCAGCTACGTCGGGGACTACACGTTCAGAGTAGGTCATACTGGGCACCAGCGAACATAGGTCCATATTCGCAGTCCATTACTTCTTCCGGGGGGTGGACATCGCTGGCGGGAATGATCCCGCTGGTGCCGGCTAGTATGGAGCTGCTTAATAATGCAGAGACGAGAGAGGAGGTAGTGGGTCAAGCGGTACTAGGATTGCAGCATATGTGGAGAGTAGCGAGAGCGGCGGAGGTAGCGGGGTTTTTAGGCTGTGTCGTGTTTGCCACTAGGTGTGAGGTGGTAGGTCCTGCGGTTGAGGCCTGGAAAGAGGTTTGGAAAGGGTGGAGGGGAGAGGTTGGATGGAAGAGGCTTTGGTCGCCTTCCACTCAACCATCTCCTAGGATGGAGCAGGATGACGAGGCAGAAGAAGAGGAGGAAGAGGCAGGCTTCGCACCCCCCCTAATAATAATCCAAGCCTCCTCCCTGCCCCGCTCTTCAACTTCCGAATGGGCGGGCACAGCAATCGACGGGCCCTGGCTACACAAGTTACAAACCGCTTACAATTCCACCCTCTCCCCACCCTCATCCTCCCTTCCACGTCTACATGTAACCCCCCAAAGCACAACATACGGCCCCAACGCCCCGCACTCCCCCACCGGCGGATTACAGATGTTCTGTCTACCCCCCTCACCACCCGGCGCTCTGGCTCTCGAAATCAAAAGAGGGATTAGCGTAGAGCAGGTGGAAGTGGGAAGTGTTACCGTGTATGTGTCAACTGGGGTAGCGTCTGTGGGAGAATTTTATGCGGCGTGGGTGGGGTGCGTGGGAGATACGGTTGGCATGCAGGTTGTTCCTGTAGAGCGGGTGTGGGATGGGGAAGGGAGAGAGATGGGGGTTGGGGTTGCGGTGAGGTTGGGGGGGAAGGAAGGTTTTTGAGAAGGGGAGGTGGGGAAGGGGAGGGAATGGGCATATATATGATACAAGCGCGGGGTTAAGATCGATGTCTGGGCTATTAGATGCTAGATTTATGACAGGAGAGGAAGTGTATGTATACTGAGACACTCTTTCGAACTTGCGAACCCCACTGCAAGTGATTGATCCTTTTACCCTCTCCTTACCTCCAAGTAGTGCAATAGTAATTTTACGGAGTCGTCAATGTTCGCCCGTCCCCCATGGTAATCCCGCCGAATGATATGTTGTAAGCAGCTATCCCGCACAGCACGCGAAACACCAGAGACTGAAAGTGACACAAAACTCCACTGCCGCTCATCACCGAAACGACACACGGAAACAAACGGAAACGACTTGCGGCGCGCATCAACAATAATTACTCGATGGTATGATACCATAAAAAAAGGTAATAGTCCAACCGTTCTCTCAACGATCCCAGTAAACATTTAGGCCAGCATATGTACAGTGCCCTTTCTACTATACTACACAACCGTTGCGATACGAAAGCTTGGTGCAGCAGCAAATGAAAGGACCGTGTCAGGTTAACGGGGGGTCACTAGACCTTCACGAAAAAGCACAATTCTCAGAATGGACTGAAAAAAGAAAGGAAGGAAGGAAGGAAGGAATGGAGAGGAGAGGAGATGGAAGTGCAAGGTTGCTTAGATTTTAGTCTCTACTACTGCCAGGCCAGGAGGGAGGGACTTCTGAGAAGGTTATATAGAAGTGTCTTTTTGGCAATCTCTCCTATTAAAAAAAGGGTTGGATGTCGTGCGCGGGGGGGGGGGGTGGGGGAAAGCAGGGAATTACCGGGTTAAGAGATGTTGCGTAGTTTGGATGGTGATATATTCTCGTTGGCCTACCCGAGGCGTGTCATGACAATCCGCGAAGATCTCACTGGGGCAATGATGCTTGGGGAAAGTATGATGTCCGTTGTTCCGACAACTATGCTGTCTGTTAACTCCTTGTAAGCGCGCTGGGTCTAATTATTAGTGCTGATCCCTTGCGGGGGGCTCTGGGTTGCCAGAAAATGGTCGGCTTGTGTGGTCATTAATCTCTGGTCTTGCGTTCGCTATATATTTCAGGTATGATTCTGATATCACCTGTGGGGGAAATAAGAGGGTGAAGCGCAAACGTATCTTGGACCGTGACCCAAAAAATTGGTTTACTGGTCTGCGATTTTTGGAGGTACGGTGCAGGGGTGGGAACCTACAACGGGAACTATCGGGGGTGTATTGTATTTAGCGAGTTGACCTTAGGTAACCGTTCCGTAACTTGCGGGCTTGGTGTCATGATAGCGAAGGGTTCGGAAAGAGTGGGGGATAGTGATTGTTTGTGGCTGTGGAGTGTGTTTGTGAGGTGGGGGAAAGGTCCTTTATATAGGCTGGGCGACTACCGTACTAGCACAAGTGTTGGTAATTTCTCTGGAGGTACGGTACGAGTATGGTGCTCGAGCATGAATGGTGCCCGAGCATGATACCAACAAAGTGAATTTAGTCATTGGGTCCCAAGCAGAACTAACCAACTCGAACACGCCACTTTAGTTATGCCCCTCAAAAATGCAGAAATCTTAGGGCGAGCATGGGGGAGGGGGAAAGAGTAAAGTTAAAAGTGAGCTTCGGTTGATGCCAGGACCCGTCGTGCCTGGCTGAGGGCCACATCGCTCACACAATCTAAGCATGGTCTGGGGTGAAGAAGGTAGTCATGATACTATGATATCAAGATTCGGGGGTAAAAACAACTTCATGTGCTCTACTAGAGCACGTAGGGTTGAGAAGCAGAATATCATGTGGTATCACCCAGGAAGGGGTGCATTTGCATTGCTCTGCTTGCTTTTAGTAGCAGAAGCCCATTGCCTAGAGTCGGGTGCCTCCGGGCAGTAGCCGGTAGGAATGATACGGCCAAGCTTTCTGGCCTCCACAATCGAACTACGCCGCAGCGGAACCCATCCGCTAGAACACATATCCATGGGAACATTTCATAGAGGAGCGTGGAGGGATACAAATACCGCACTAGCCGGTTGGCCGGCAATGGCGCAAGAGCGGTCAAATGAAGCACGGCTTGATAGGCGAGTAAGCCTCTTCGGGAAGCTCTTTCCCCCGAAAACAAGTAGAAACTTTGGCGGAAAGAACGCCCTGCGGAAAATTGTCGAAAGAAATCTAACTCTGGGAGGCGACTCTCCAGAGTCCCGGTCTCCTACCGAGCCACACTTTACTCGTAGTTGACCGTTCTAGCGGTAGTTCCAGGTTGACCGGTTAATGCAGAGATTGACCATCACGAGCCGTGCGAGTAGACTTCGGTGGAGTAAATTTACGTCCAACTGCCTCTGTGCAGCAGCGGGGACACCTGGATGGCCAATGAACAATCCTGGGGCCAAAGAACCCGGTTATATATAACTCACTGGGAACTACCAATAACCCTATAGAAGAATGATATCCCCTGAACACTGTATTTAATGTCAAAAGTTTCAAGAAATAGCTCGATCGGGGCCACACATCAACCTACATAAGAATGACAGAGCCCAACCCCAGCATGGAAACCGTTATTCCTTTAAGGGAATAGCAAGAGCTAACAATCGATTACGGCCGCTTCAGAGGGTCGGAGGGAAAATAGTATTCACGGACTATTCACCCATCCAGGACCCGGCAGCAGAGGTGCAAGATTCTTAGAAAATATACCCATGCCGGTATGGAGGAAGCCCCAGCGGATTCGCATTTCCCAAAGGGGGGTCTTAACTCGTGGTCATCATTTGTACAGGCAATAAACAATAAACCCCTACGGCACAGTATCGCACGCGCCTACAATGCCGGAAGATATTTAAGCCTAGCTTCTGCAGGGAAGAAAACCACCTTATCAGATGAGTACCCGGAGCGAAGAGATCAGATAACCCGGCGAACTAGCTGTGCTGGACGCAATATACTCGTACAGCGCCCATATTAGCCCAAAAAGCACCTTGACCGCACGCCGTCAACACCAGAGGCCTCCGGGGGTCCGTCACCTGCTGCAGGCCGGTACTATAGGAACAAGTTCGGGCTCACCGGAGACCATGAAGGAGAAGAAAATTGTACCAGTACTTTACACTTCCTCTCGTGGCACCTGCGCAGCGGGGGGTGGTATGTCTCTTGCCGGCGAGGACTCAAATTAGAGGAAAAAATGGGTCGGTTCGATGGTATCCATCACTCGGCAAATGGAATCCGCCGAAATCGGCGTACAGTACCGGTACATCCCTCATGGCGTTGGGTAGGCGGGCTCGACCCGCAGCCCAAGCACGACACGAGCGGAAAGTACCACCCGCGCACCCAGTAGCATAAAGCCGGGGGGGGGGTGTTCGGAGGTTGCAGCCGCCTCTCGCAGTAGGCTCTGGGCGTGAGTTACCGATATTCCGTTTGATCTGCACCGTACCACTTGTAGCACTGCACGGCACAACGTAGGGAGCCTCAAACCGGGACCAAGAGAGTGCCAAGGCCTGAATCTCTAATCAGAGAATTTTTCATCAGATATATCCAGCGGGAGAAGTTAGCCGTGCGTAGCGCAGGATTCTAGCGAGAGTGAAACATGTCCTCAGTTATTCGCGATGCGGGATACTTGGCCCGGTACCTGTGCTGTAACTTACATGCCAGTACTCGTACTGTACTCGAGTACAAGTATCATACAAGTACTTGTACGGTATGATACCTTGCTCGTGCTGTGTGTAACTTGAGATTCGAGGTTGCATTGGTTGCCAGCGAACAGTTATCCCCCAATCCGGTCTTTCGCTGAGGACCCCACCTCCAGGCACGCTGCACCTTATCAGCTGAGGGCTGGGCTTGCCGTGTCTTCCCCTCGCTTAGCCGAGGAGGGGAATTCCAACGTCGCCTCACACTCTTCTTCTGTTCGAGCTCTGACAAGCACGGCAGTCTGTCATCAAGCCCAAGAGGTGGGTGGGAGAAGGCCTCCCCCCGATCCGTCGCCGATTAAAGAAGGATACCTTCCATCATCTCTCGTTGCTCCTGTAAAAGGAAAGGATCTTTTGGGTGCATCCCACACTGCGGACTGGGGGATGGAGTACGGTGTCATACCGGTACTCGTACGGTATCACCGTATGTATGTGTCCTATTCTTGGCCATCTTACAACCTGATAGACCCCAACTGTCCGAGTGCGCGTCCATGACCGCAGCTTGCATGGTCCGGGAAGCTAAAATAAATTTCGAATAGACACGGCTGCCGCTGGTCGAGAAATTCTCTCAAGTCATCAAAGGCGTCAGATCCGCCGGCAGGAGATTTCATTTATTTTTCGCTTCATCGTGTCCAGGACCTCGGTTGGCTTCTAAACCCTTCCTTGCCAAAAGCTGACGGGAAGGGGAAAAAAGCGAGGCTCCGAGCCGGACCGAGCTAGGGTGCAAGCAGATTCGAATCCCGTAAATTTACTTGTGCTCACGCATCGCAAAGAATAGCGGATCTCGCCAGCATCACCCCCAATACACACCCGCATACACCAATAACCCTTAGCCGCAACCCACCTTTCCCTGGTTCAGATATAGAGTTGCCTTCCCCCACCCTCCGCGCCGCCCCTTTATCAGCTAAATGAGAGCTTTCTTGCGTGCTGCCCCGATCACACGATCGAGTCACCTACACTTCCGCTCTATAAGTCGGCTGAGAAACTACAGCTTCATCGCTCGACATCGCTCATCTGCCACTCCCACTGCCACTTCTACTCCCACTGCCACTTCTACTGCTACTCCTTCACCCTCACCCTTACAAGGCCGATATAGACTTGCCGCGTCTTCACCAACTTCTCGCCAATTCGTCCGACGCTGCTCTGCTCACAGAATGTGCCACCCCAAAGAGGCTTCCGGCTCGGTCGATATTACTCGGGGGAGAGAGGTCCTGCCCGGGAATGTGAAGCCAACCAATTATGCTGTTGAGCTCGAGCCGGACTTTGAGACGTTCAAATATGACGGGACTGTTGCGATTGAGTATGATCCCCGATCATTGATGGTTTCCGGGACCCGTTAGGCTGATAATGGTCGTCATGATAGCTTGGAGGTAGTGGAGGCTAGCACCACCGTTGCCGTCAATATTATAGATATTGATATTAAGGAGGTCTCTGTGGAATATGATGGAAGTTCCCACAGCCCTACCGAGTCCAAGTATTATTATTATTTTTTCTCCGTCCTATCTTTGCTATGATGGCTGGGATGTTAATTGGTTTATTGATAGCCATGAAGAGGAGACCCAAACCATTACTTGGACTTTCGAGAGGACTATTCCCGCGGGCACCCGGGCTATCCTTACCGTCAAGTTCCAGGGATCGCTCAATGATAACATGGCTGGTGAGTTGACCTGGTGGCCAATCTTCGGGTGTCGGCTGATGGCATTCTAGGTTTCTACCGTTCATCCTATAAGGATGGGGACGGAAACACCAAGTATATGGCTACTACCCAGATGGAACCCACCGATGCTCGCAGGGTGAGATCGATGATGCCCATCGTCCTTATTCCTGAACTTGATGCTTACAAGGTCCAATAGGCTCTCCCTTGCTTCGATCAACCGGATCTTAAAGCTACCTGGGATGTCACCTTGATTTGCGACAAGAACCTAACCGCCCTATCAAACATGGACGTCAAGGAAGAGAAGGAGCTGGACAATGGAAAGAAATCCGTTTCCTTCAACCGAAGCCCCAAGATGTCCACTTACGTGACTACATCCATACATCCCCCTAGTATCACACTCTCTTACAATTGACTTCCAGCTTCTCGCGTTCATCGTCGGAGACCTACGGTTCGTTGAGAACAACGGCTTTCGAGTCCCCATTCGAGTTTATGCTACACCAGGCTCGGAGCACCTTGGACACTTCTCAGCAGAGCTCGCAGCAAAGACTCTCGAATTTTACGATAAAACCTTCGATTACCCATACCCGCTACCGAAGATGGACATGGTTGCCATTCCCGACTTTTCGGCAGGAGCCATGGAGAACTGGGGCTTGGTCACATACCGGGTCGTGGACTTGCTCTATGACGAGAAGACCGCTTCATTGGACCGGAAGCAGAGAATTGCCGAGGTCGTGCAGCACGAACTTGCCCACCAATGGTTCGGAAACCTGGTCACTATGGACTTCTGGGAAGGGCTGTGGCTCAACGAGGGTTTTGCCACCTGGATGAGTTGGTACTCTGGGAATAAGTTTTACCCCCAGTGGAAGGTTTGGGAATCATATGTTACCGACAGTTATGCTGGGGCTCTGGGATTGGATGGATTGAGGAGCAGTCATCCCATCGAGGTGCCGGTGAAGAAGGTTTCCGAGATCAACCAGATTTTCGATAGCATTTCTTACTTGAAGGGAAGCTCTATACTGAGGATGATTTCGGTCTACCTTGGCGAGGATGTTTTCCTGGAAGGTATTAGGAGGTACTTGAAGAAGCATGCATATGGAAATACCCAGGTTTGCACCACCCCCCTCCCACCTTGTTCCCTGCCTAGGGCTAACTGGATAAGACTGGTGATTTATGGGCGGCTCTCAGTGATGCTAGCGGAAAAGATGTTGAGAGTGATATGGCGACATGGACCAAGAAGATTGGCTACCCCGTCATTGCTGTCGAGGAGCACGGTAGTGAGCTTCACTTGACCCAAAACCGCTACCTGAGAACGGCAGATGTCAAGCCGGAGGAGGACGAGACACTGTGGCCCATCTTCTTGGGTCTCCGCACCAAGAGCGGCATCGCTGAGAGCCTTACCTTCAACACTAGGCACACCACGATCAACCTTGACGACCCGGAATTCTACAAACTCAATGCCAATCACACCGGTGTCTACCGTACACTATATCCTCCGGCACGCCTTGCGAAGCTCGGCCAAGCCGCCGACCTTCTTTCTGTAGAGGATCGTGCAGGTTTGCTCGGGGACGCCGGAGCCCTTGCCACGAGCGGATACCAGAAGACTTCCGGTCTATTGGATCTCCTTGTTGGTCTCAAGAATGAGAAGGAGTACATTGTCTGGTCCGAGATTGCCTCTAGAATTGGTAGCATCAAGGCTGCCTGGCTCTTTGAACCCAAGGAAATCCTCAAGGGATTCAAGAAGTTCCAGAAGGACCTCTTTGCACCGATTACTCACGAAATTGGTTGGGATTTCAAGCCTGAGGATAGCGATATCCTCCAGCAGCTCAAGGCATTGGCTTTCGGTCAGGCCGGGTATGGTGGTGACGAGGAGGTCGTTGCTGCCGCTAAGAAGATGTTTAAGAAATTTGCTGATGGCGACGTTGATGCTATCAACCCCAACATCCGTACTGCGGTTTACCATATTGTGTTGCAGCATGGTGACAACGATGGAGAGAAGGAAGTCTGTTGTGTTTGCCCCGATAAATGGCGCTGCATGATGCTGACTTTGTTTGTGATAGTGGGATATCATCCACAACGCATACCTGAATGGCCGTACTAGCGATGAGCGCAATGTAGCTCTCCGCACCCTTGGCCGCTCCGAAAACGCGGAAAACATCCAGAAGACCCTCAATCTCTGTCTCAACGGCGAAGTCAAGGAACAAGACGTAAGTAGTCCATACCTCACACTCCCTCCTACTTATCTAACGCATTCAGATCTACCAACCGATCAGCGGTCTCCGTGCCCATGCCGCTGGGACGGAAGCCCTTTGGTCCTGGACGCAAGAGAACTGGGACATCCTCGTCAAGAAGCTTCCACCTGGCCTCTCCATGCTCGGTGGTGTCGTCGGCACCTGCACAGGAGGCTTCACTTCCGAGGAGGCTATCGCAGATATTGAGAAGTTCTTTGGGGACAAGGATCAGAAAGGATATGACAGAAGCTTGGCCCAGAGTTTGGACGGAATTCGTGCCAAGGCTGCTTGGGTAAAGAGGGATGCTGATGATGTTAAGGCTTGGTTGAAGGCGAAGGGGTATACCCTTGCCGAGAAGTTGTAGACTTATCTTAGCGCCTGTCCTTTTTTTTTTTTCAGTGGCATCTAGAGTAGCTTCTTAGAGTGAATAGATGGTATAGTGGGTGCGATATAGTGATAGCATCTGCATTGTAGGAAGTGCCCAGAATGCCGCCGGCAGTGGGGGGTAACCACATCATCCCGCGATGCCCCTACAACTCAACCAGCTAAAAAATCAACAAACCCCTAACCGCAAGAGAGAGAAGAGAAAAAAATCATCTCCACTACCGCAAAAAGCATTCGAAAGCCATGCGCCAGAAGGGAATCGAACCCCTGCCAATTGCTTGGAAGGCAATTATCCTACCACTGGACCACTGGCGCTGGTTATATCTAAACTGCCTGCCTGTGCGCATAAGATTGGTTTTAAGACCGAGTTCCACCAGTGCGCGAAAAATTTTCCGAGCCGCAATAGATCATATCTCCCGGAACTCAGGTACGGCACTAGGCGACGGCAACCCCAACATCCCCAAAACAAAAACAAAAAAAACTGGCACAACACAGCACAGTAACTTATCCGCCCATAAAGAGGGTCGCAAACGGTCCAACTCGCCAAAGCAAAGCAGAGCACTGTGACCATCTATCTATCATGTGATATCACATCCCCGCCCCGCAGTGTAGAGTACAGCAGTAACCATACAAGTACAGGTACTGTCGGAGAACACCCACAGCTAGGTTGTTGACCGGAACGTTTCCACTTTTTTTTTTTTGAATTGCTATCGCAGAAGGGGTTTCTCTATAATATTATAGTATATACAGTATGATGCCGGTCAGTCTGTACAAAGTCAGAGAGAGAACCTATCGACCGTGTCACAAGCTGTACTGTATTACCGGTAGACTACTGTATTCACAAGCGATTGGTCGTGCGTGATACACCCTTTACTTAGGCCATCCATGATATTATACTCATAAGTGCTATGATAGTAGTGCAAGTAACCATACGGCTACCGTACTGTAGAGTACTAGTACAGTACAGCACTCTCATCTTGTGATATGTTAACACAAAACAACCCCCCGAAATAAAGAAAAGAAAATAAAGTAAAGAAAAAAAAAATGTAAAACCCAACCTTTCCAATCCCCACCCCACCCACTTTTCCAAAAAATGGAAAGAGCGGGACGGTAAATATCAAGTAAAAGGTAACGGCCTAAATTGATCTCGAAGACTTGGGATTTTTTTTAAGGAAAAAATACCCTGGCATCTACTTCGTTTTGGTGTAAAAAAGGATATACGGTAGACGTGACATGTCTTCTTGCTTTTTTGATCTGGGGAGGGAAGGGAGGGAAGGAAAGAAGGGAAGGTTGTGTGTGGGTGGGTGGGTGGGAATTTATACTTTTGTGTGTGGGCTTGGCGGTTGTTGTGGGGAATTGGGCTTGGCTAGGGTTGGGTTGGGGGGTTAGGTGTTTGGTGGGGTTATTGTAGACTGATGTCGTGTGGGTGGGAAAGGGATGATGGGGAGATTGGATGTCACGATTGTCGTGATTTTTCGGAGTGTGATGGGTGCGGTTGATGGTGATTGCGTGTCCGGTGTTAATTGAGTCTGGTAGGCTAAAACTAGGCGTCTTCTGGTATGATACCGTATCGTACTGTACTATACGAGTACCGTAGACTATTCTAGCATCTGCAAAAGAAGAAACCCACATGATGGACCCTTATGCAGTCCGCTTTATCTATAACACCACTTGCTGTGATACTTGCTCTAAATACCGTTTCCACACTGGCAGAATTAACAGTTTCTCAAACCTTACTCCGACCTCCTTCTATGCCCCGAATGTGCTTCTAAACATCTGAACCATACAGCACGAGAGTGTAGACATTGCATACATTAAACTGGATAATACCACGTATTTCCAATTATTAAGCCGGCTCAACTCCCTCTCTTGCGGGTATGGTATAATAGCTAGGTGTTACATTTCACCTGCCTTCAATATGGGATCGATGTCCCGATATTTCCTAATTACAAAGGGGAAAAGAGAAAAAAAGGATAACCAAACCAAAGACATTCCAGTGTTACACCTGGCCCAGGCTATTAAAGACCTAAATGTAGAAAAAGCAAGGAGCAAGACGAAAAGAAAACGAAAAAGACCGTGTAGGAAAGGAAGGGTATATAAAAGAGCGACGGCGACGATTGAAACGGCGTTTTTAACAGTGAACGTAACCATAGGTATTGATAATGTGGTTAAGCGGATTCAAACAGAGGTTAATGCATTCAGTAATAGAGAGGGGAAATGCTTCTCATGAGGCGTGGGGAATATACCATCCAGGCGGGAAATAAACAACGGTATCCAGACCGGAATAAGGAGACCGGTCCAGGGTCTCTCCAGAATACCCAGGAACCCACCTTCTCTCTACCCACACACCCCCGCACCTACAAAGCCGCCATAACAATCTCGTTATCCATCACCCCCATCTCCACATCCTCGACCGTGTCGTCCATGGCCTCATTACAGAGCCATTCAACACCCTTCACGCACCGCCCAACAATGCTGTTAATACTATTACTCTCCTCATCGGCGGCGGACTGGCCCGGAACAGGCCTCGGCCCCCAGCCCACGGGGAGCACTACTCTTTGCCGAGCTTCCCTGTCAAGAATGACAATCGCGTCGAGGGCTTGCCGACCGCCGCCAAGAGGGTGGAGGAGACCGAGGGAGAGTGTTAATGCACGGGTGCGGTCGTGGACTATGGATATCAAAGCGAATTGGCCCCTGTTTTTTTTTTCACAATAATGGGTATTGGGACCCACCGATTGGTAATGAAGAAGTATGCGGTAGAGGGGCGGACAGGGAGACACCGAATACATCGGCATTTAGGTTTCCTAGGAGACTAGCAACTTGACTGTTTTTTAAACGGAAAGTTTTCCTGTCAATTCACAATCTGGCTCACCGCAAAGGGGCGAACGAAAACAAATAAATAAGAAGGATACCAACCCCAAACCTTGCAAATGCTCAATCGTGCACTCAAGGAAACACAAGACTGTGAACCCCCTGCTTCCTCGTAAATCACCCACTCTTCTTCCACAGTCCAAACTCTCCGCGCCAGGCCAGAGCACATCCACAACAACCGCTTCTACCCGCGCGTCAAGGCCGATACTATCATCTTTACGAGACACCCAACCAGGCCTCTCCGCAGCCCTCTTTGCACGCAATCTCTTCTGTGTGTGCGAGCGAGAAGGCGGTCTCGAAGATGGCGGCGTATCGTCCGCGAAGGCGATCTGCGGAGACCTCTTCTTGGATGACGCGATAGTGAATAGCGGTGGCGAGGGCGAAGGCTGCGGTGGCGGTGGTTGGAACGACATTGGTAGTGGGGAAGTTTGCAAAAAGAGCGCCTCTGGGCAGGGCACGAGCGGAAAGAGTGTGTTTGGGGAGGATTTGTTTGTGAAGGTGGTGAAGCTTCGAATGAGTGTCCTGTGGGGAATGGGGTGTTGAAGAATCGGCTGGTTGATGCAAGGGGAGGAGACCAACAGGGGAGAATCCTGTTGGAGACCCATGGCTGTGGGACCCCGGAAGCACGGTTCGTTTTTGGTTGGGCAAAGGGTTTATTTTCTTTTTTTGAATAACCTTTCGGGATTGCCCTTTTCTGCCGTGTCAACCCCGGTTAGATGAGTACCTGTATGGTACTTTATCAGGGCCGAGTCCGAATGAAAGGAAACGTATGGGGCCCTCTTTCCGGATTGTCTAAAGGGCAACGTGAAGATTTTCGGAGGCAGAAAGTATGTGAGAGGGGGAGGCGATTACGGACTGCGGAGACGAGTGGATTAATAGGAAGATGGTGTAAAGCGAGGAGCTGGTGGGGGGAAATGGCGAGGAAAGTGGGGGAATAGAGGAGAGGAGGGGCGAGTGCTGGTAGTACCGGTATGTCGGGAGATGCAGGGACAAAGATCCGCACGAAGAGATGTGGTATTATATCCTGCACCTGCTGTGTTTTCTCTTCGAGTAAACCATCGCCAGTCAGGAGAGTAGGGTAGAGCAAGGCCAGCAGATGGGGGGACTGGGCGATACGGTAATATAGACCCCATGCAACAGGCGTAACCGGTGTCAGGGTGGGGGGGGGATGGTTAGCCGGAGCATTGATGATTGACTCTGGGTCCGCTCTTCCTTCCTTCTTTCCTCTTTTCCCCTCCTGAGCCCATTAGCAATCGACGTGTGTTTGACTTAGCGAGATAATAGCTGCAGTAACTGCTAGTGCTGACTTGGGATACACCCCGCTCCTTTCGCATGATCATATTAGACTATGGGCCCACTCACAAAAGGAAGCACCGGGAAAACTTTTGTACTATAATAGCACAGAGAGGGGGGGAAAAGGCCAACCCGTGACCCTTCCCAGCTTTCCACGGTCCGGAGAAAGCAGCAACCAGTCTACCGGTGCACCAGGGCGGTCAAATACCGCAAGAACAGCATCCATTATTCATGGAATAGACACCACAACTCCAGTACCCCCCTTTCTCACAATTCCCGACAGCTCACGCTAACACTGCACTATATCGTGCCGGTTCTAAACATGCAATTATCCTACCATGCGCGCCCAAAATCGCACTGAGTTACACCATCACTAAAACCCCTCAACAAGCCGGTATTTACCTGTCGATTATCGTATCATGAACTTCCTATAGTGCCCGTATATACGGTGCGGGCCGAGGGCGTGGGACCGGCCCGCCGTGGTTCGGTACCGCTAGGGCCGCTCATGGAACGGAGCTGATGGGATTCACAAAATCAATAAAATATAGGACATATGCTGCCGCTCCATTTCTGGATTTGTGGGCCGGGCTGGATTGGAGAGGGGGATGCATGCATAGAGTCACATCAGGAGCGAGAGCAGCAGTATGAAAAGTCTCAGTAATGCCCAATTGAGCGCCTTCGGCCTGGTCTCTAGTAGATCCAAATACATCCAGCCGTGATTCTACCCAGGGATCTAGCAAATCTCTAGTATCTCTATCCCTCTAACATTTTGCGAGCTCGGCCTTACTCATCTTCGCTATCTTCGCTATCTTCGCCATCATCATCTCCCTCATCCTCCTCATCATTATCGTCGCTATCATCGTCTTTGTCGTCCTCCTCCTCTTGTCCGTCTTTCAACCCATACTTCAATCCATAATCATCTTGGAAGAATGACAAGGGATTGACTGCGACGGTGAAATTTTCCTTTTCATATGCCGCTTTGATGGACTTTATCATTGGGAGAAACGGTTAGCGGCCGCCCACGTCAAAACCAGACCACTTCGGAGATAAGGGTAAAAACTCACGTCAGTTTTCACCGGTGCGGTAACAATAATATTGTTACTGGTATCGTATTGGAATATTGGCAGCAAAAATTCTTTGAGAATGTTCCTCAGATCATCTACTGACACCTCTTTCACCCTCCTCAATAATTGCATGTTATAGTCCTTTGACTGGTTGTGGACGACCTGGTTGATGAAAGATAAAGTGGCGGCAGCAGATAGAGTGGATTCTCCATCGGCAAACGAGACAACTATTCCGCTGAGTGCGCCCTCTAGAGCGTGCTTATTGAATGCGACAGTCCCATCTATGTGATCATTTATCACTTTCCTCGACGCCTCCCATGCTTTATAAGCATCAGGAGAACGGTAAATGGTGTAAAACAGATGACCGGCATCCAGGTCTTTCACGAAATGGGTTGAGTAAGCCAATCCGGTTCCCCGAACAGCCCTTTGCCCTCGGGAATTAGTACAAAGGGACAATGTCGAAGGAAAATTTATGACTTACCTCCATAGGGGGCCCTCGACGGCATCAAGATATGATATAGCCAGGAGGAGCGCTGGGAGTTTAGGATGGTTTGGGCTATCGGGTCCAATAGCGAAATGGATTGAGAAGGAGGAGTCAATAGTTGCAAGTGGGACGATATGCGTGACCTTTCCTGGGTTTGTTCCCTCAGGTGTGAGCCGTGGTCCCCTGCGGTCGATAGGTAATAGCTTGCCGCTCTAGTCATATTGCATCAAGTTAGTACTGATCCTGCCTGCTAATTAAAAAAGGTATTTAGTTTCCCCCAAGACCTACAAATGGCCGATCAGAGGCAAAAAATTTCCAGGCTGAAACTGGATTTTTTAGTTTTGTCAGCTCTCCGACCACAAGTATACGAAAATTGTCGATCTTGGCAAACGTTTGGCGCAACTCCTCGAATTGCTCTATGACTTGTTCCGGCTTGTCATCAAGAAGCTTGCTGATACGCTTAAGGTACAACGCTTTGGTGAGAGTATCTTGAGCCCGGGAAACGGAGCTGCGGGAATAAGCAACCATGCGGGCTACAGACCAGCTCATCTACAACAAATATTAGAGCGTAGGAAAGACATTAGGATAAGCTAGAGACTCACTTGGTTTCCCTGCCGCTTTCCCTCGGGAATGTCGCTCTTCATTTTTGTAAGTGTGGTAGCAAGGCGCTAATAATCAAGTCAGCGGATCTCCTGATATTCTTCCGAGGGGGATAATATCCGGTACCTTTTTATCGAATATACTGTCCCACATTAACTCCCGTAGCCATTTTATGGCCACCTCGTATTTTTCTGGCTCTATCCGGAAGTTAATTCTGATGTTTTCCGCAGCATCCATATAAGAAGCCGAGCCGATATCATAATCCACTGTGTCCCTTTCCAACTCCGCCACAACCTGCTCAAATTCGATTCTCACACCGTCCCTCACCACTGGGGTATCAAAGAAATTTTCGAGATACACCGCCAGCAAAGGGCGCCGTTCCACAGGGATCGACTCGGTGGAGATTAGGAAAACAATTTTGACGAAATTTGAGGTAACGTTCTCGTAGTGCAAGTACAGTGGGATACCTACTGAGTCTTTGTCGATGATTTTTTGGGCTTCGGTATCCCTGTATGTAAGAACCGGTTAGTGACTTCGGGTATGGATTCATAGGATATCACTCACGTTTTCCATTCTTTAGCCGCCAGTCCAGCCCTTGCAGTCTTCAGAAAGGATTAGCCCCAGGCTAATGTTGCATTGGGAAGGGAAGGGCTTACACCGGTTTTGATAAAATGAATCGAATCTATGCCGGGAACGGGAAATTTCCCTAGGAGCTCTTCTGGAATTTCTCTCTCGTTGTCCGCAGTTGCCTCCTCCAGCCTTTCCTGGAGCCTCTTAAGACCTTCCTCACCTAGCTCCTTCTTTCTTGCAGCTATCCTTGCCTTCTCGCCCTCTTCGATACTCTTGGCCAGCTTTGCGGATGGGCGGCCCAAAACAGAGACATGCTTATTTTCCGCAATCCATTTTCTTATGAATTCTCTCCAATCCTTCTCACTCCATTTCTCAAGTTCATCGTACCAGGAGAGAGTTTCAATGTTCTTCAAAGTACTGCCATCTCGCTTTCCAAAAAGATGATCCGTAATAACTGGAGTAGCAAAATACTCTCCGGAGTTCTCGAAGCCGTATTTTTTCTGCCGTTTGGTACGTCTCAAGCACTCCTGCATGTACTTAAAGTCCAAAGGCTCGTCGACCGTTTTCTTCAGCGCTTCGAAGAGTCTTTGCTCGGCTTCCGCGAGACGTTTCGTAGAGACACTGGAGAGTGACAGCCAGATCAAAGAATCTGGTCTGTCTTCCACGTAGAGCATGGCGCTAGAGGCAACAGGGTCTTCACATTCCACCAATTGGCTCTCCAAAACAGAGACCGATGAGCCAGTGAGAAATGTGCCAAGAGTTTCGAGGGCAGCCGCTGATTTGGGATCAGTGCAGTCAGGACCCAAGAAACCAACGACCACTTCCCCCCTAGACTCATCCTTTTCTGGAAATTCAACCGTGGATATGGATGAATTGGTTAATTGTGGGACTGGCTTCGATTCGATCCAAGGCCTATGAAACGTTTAGCATGATCCGATAACGCCAGTAAAACCGGGGGGCTCGAACCTTCGCCAGGGAGCATTTGGGTCTGGGATATCCCCCATTATAGAATCCTCAAACTCATCCAGAATTTTCAGCAACTCTTCGTGGACTATCTCCCCCACTATCACAACGCACAGATTTTTCGGCTGATACATATCTTTGTGAAACTCCCGGATCCTGTCGCTTGTCAGAACCCTCAGGGCACCCATCATCCCCCCGGTTTCGTATCTAAAGCCAACTCCCTCTGGATATAACTTCCTGACGGCTTCAAGACCGGTCAGTGTGCTTGCTGTATTTTCTACGCCTTGCATCTCGGAGTAGACAACCCCTGCATCTTGCCCTTCACCATCGATGTGGTGGACCTCAGTATAGCATGCACTGTCGGTTATGATAGGGAGGAGGACATGTTCGAGGTAAACCGGCAGAATCTGACCAAAACCTTCCCAGCCAGCACTCTCGAGAGTATATGCCGTATGGTCCGTGGCGGTCCAGGCATTCGTATGAGAGTATGCCCTATAATAAATAAATCAATGAAGGGTTCCAAGGGCACAGCTAATGACTTGTCCAAGCAGAGGATTGGACAAGGCACTACCATTGGGAATCCGTACCTGCTTGCCATCTTATCCAAAACCCCTTTGTAACGGTAGCTCTTGGAGCCCATGAAGCATAGGTGTTCTAAGGTATGCGGAGCTCCTGAATCATCCAAGATCTCCGTAGCCAGGGTAAAGTATCCAAGAACCTTTGGACCCTCTCTGTCAACCACCACCGCAGACATTCCGGTGTTTTGAGATTCATATTTAGTGATAACACTGGGGGCATAGTTAGCCTTGAATTGGACGGTCTTCTTGAAATGAGTTCCGGTCATGGTGGACAAATTTGCCAGATTTCCTCTAGGTGGAGAAGGATGCCCGAGCTCCTTCACAAAGAGGAAGAAAATTAGACGCTTAATGGCGAAGTTTGGCGGTGAACTATAGCTCGGGGAAAAGGGGCGTAGTGGTCGGGTGAAAATGAGAGGGGAATACGGAGGAGGATAATAGTGCGGACGAGGGGGATGGCACCGGTACCAGTAAATATATGCGAGGCGAGGCTTGAGGTGAACGGTGCTACTGGTGCGTGGGCCGTACTCGTACCGTTGGATAATGCTCCACGAAAGGGACTACTCAACAACTGGCTGCGAAAATTTTTTGAACCACAAGGATTGCGGGGTCAAAGTTGTGTGTGCAGCTCGGCAGCTAAGAGCTCAGAATTAATACACCTATGGTACAGGAATCAGCACGCCAGGCCTCTCGCATACAAAGGGTGACACACAATTTTGTGATCAAAAGGACAGAAGTACCGGTAAGGTTGCTGACCCCGAGCTGGCTCAAAAAAAAAGAAAATTCTGGAGGATCGTACAAAAATTTATTTCCATAATAATATGATGCCAGTATTATGAGTGCAGGTTACTTGCACATTATGATGACCCATTAAGTCGGGGACGACATGTTTGTGAGACCCTTCACTCGCCGCCTGAACCCCACTTTGCGTCGCCTCGACCAGGGTCCCGGGGATGGGGCAATGCACTCTACAGTATCATAATTTATCATACTCGAGTACTCGTGCCAAGGTTGTTGCACCGCCACAGCCCCTCAAACCTTTCTCGCCCACCCTTGGGGGCTGTTGTGCCACATAATGGCATCTCCCTGGCCTCCCTCGAGGGTTATCCCTCCCCTTCTTTTGAGTCTCTTTCCTTCCCCAGTGGCCTGCTTTACCTGCGTGTGCCCGCATCTCCACCTTCTGCTTCGTTTTCCTCCAGAGCATGGCCCAACTCGATGGAGTCGCGCCCGAACAGTCCTGGGCTACGGCACCAGCCACTGCGCCACCCAGTTCATTGGCCACTTCGCCAAGAAGGCAGCTCAAAGTAGGGACAGCCTCGAAGAGCTCAATCGATCGTTCTGCAATATGCAGCCTTTCTCCAGCAGATTGGCAATATGTGCTTCCTCAGGCTAGCATGGGCCGGTGAGACCAAGTTTAACATTGCCAGCACCCCGCAGAAGCGAAAGTCGTATGTCAATGGAATTACACCCATCCGCTGACTAACACTTTGCACAAATATTGCAAACACATAGAGTATGGAGAACGGAGAAGCGTCCGGACAGCGGACAAAGCTATGGCAATGGACGTTCTCCCTTACTTGTACTAGACGTGCAGAAGCACGTTGTGGGGCATCCGCTGATGTACTTTCAGCAGTACAGGCGGGGTAAGTTTACGAGCACACCTTGGTTGGGGCTGAGGTTGGCCTTTGCAATTTATGCCGGCACGGCTGGGTAGTACATGGATCTCAATAATACCAAAGAGGCCTACAAGGTATAAGCCCACACTGGAACCTCTTCCTGAGAAACAGTCTACTCATGCCTTCTCCAGCCCCACAGCAACGTTTTGACCCACATCTTTGCAGTGTTCCTTACGAGCCGGGTGGTTCGAAGGCTCGGCTTGGGCTTTTGGTTTGAGCTCATCTAACCTTTTGCTCAAGCCATGCTCAAGCTAAGCCCGACATTTTTCATATGATTTTCTTTTTCTCTTCAAATGGGCAAAGAAAAGAGGGGAGGGGACTGATATCTCTAGGACTACCTTGCATATCTCGTGGAGGTGCTGGTACACAGAGGAGAAAGAAATTTAATAATTTCGAATATTCCCATACCCGGGAAGCCGTTTGGGCACACCGTTGGTAGCCTAACTCGGGGTGGGGGGCCTAGTACGGATCCCAAAATTTTCGTGGACTAATGAGAGGTTGAGAGTCGAAGAGTAGGTTAGATGAGGAATCCTAAGTAGAGGAAGTAAATTGGGTTTTCCATAAACATACAACCCGCGATTGATTTACGCAATCTAAGGGGTCAACTAAGCGGAAAGTTAATATGCTCGCAGCAGAATTTGGGGATGTGTTTTCGTGCACTTAATATTTAGACCATATCCTCCACTAAGGTTCACCATATACATCCCCGTACAGCTAGTTTTAGCGAGTGATACTATGTGACTGGCGACAAAACCAACTCGAGCCTTAATTCCCGAGCCTATTTTAGAAGGCTCGTGCACTAAACTAAACTCCGAGCGGCTTGAGCCCATATGCTGTCGAGCCAAGCCAGAACGAGTGTGTATTCCAGTTATTATCTAGCCATTTTTGCTTACCATATATTCGAACCTCAGAGATTTGAGGCTCATTCACATGGTCCTATGAAACGTTGATAACGACCATCTTCGCATTGGTAATAAAAAAACCCCCTAACGGGAATAAAACGGAATAATGTACAGTACTCACCAAAATCAAAAGTCCGTCCCCGACCTTTTTTTTTACCTAGGCGCAAACAAACCGAACCACACCTTGCTTGTATGTAGAAAAGAAATTGGAGCTGACCTCTCATAGCCCCTTAACATGACCGGCCACCCCGCTTTTCACCGGCTACTATACATATCATACCTTGAATACACAAACTTTTTGATTTTGGCGAGAAGCCTAGTGAGGAGTGACAACAACCATACTATGTGGAAGGAAGGGGAAGCGGAAGCTCGAATCTTTACATACGGTGCACCCAGCAAACAAAAAGCAAAGATTCCTCCTCCAAGGACGACACCAACTGGCTGACCTTTCACCGGGACGTCCGCTCATTGGCGAAAACCTCAAGTCAGTCGCCTCGGTCTACATTTTCATCCATATTCGTAGTACTACCATAAAAACTCAAAGAATTGAACCCGGTTTCATGAAGTCTGAAATTTCCTGCTATGGAAAGGGGGTGCAAGGAAACACAGCGAAAACACAGGTCCTTTCCCACCCCCGAGATAGGAGAAAAAGGGAAAAAAAGTCCCCCGACCCCACCGAGAGAGGAAAGCCCAACGACATGAAACCAGGTTCAATTATTCGAGTTTTCAGGGTATAGTAGTAGAGAGTTATTGTCGAACATGGAGTATACCCTATTGTGTCCGGTGGACTTTACGTTCGGCGGGGCGGGGAATTGCAAAAGGCCTATTTGGAGCTGAGACTAGTATTTATACTCTCGCGGTAACACTCGGGGAGTGTCGTTACTCGGCATCACAAAGCGCAAAATGTAGGTGACAGAGCGGTTGATGAAAACTTGACACCCTGCTTGACGGCTGGTTCGGAATAGGGGCTGAGGTACTTCACGCTAAGAACCAAGTTGTATGGATGAATTTATAAGAGCCAACTTACGAGAATGGTATCATAAGGGCGTGATCGCGAGAATGAAGCCACGGAGCGAAGTCTAATGATCAAAGTTATCAAAAGACGTCGTAAGAGAAAAGTGAAGCAAGTCCAAGTTGAATAAATAAACAAAGTCATAAAACGGCAGTCTAAGGACAAGGTCAGACAAGTCAAAGCCGAATAAACAAAGTAATAGAACAAAGTCGTAGGAACAAAGTTATTCAAGTCAAAGCAGAATAAATAATGTCAACGGGAAGTACTGTAGTCCATGGGGAATCATATAGGCAAAGTTCCTAGTCACTAGAGACTAGTCCTTCGCAGCTCTAGAACACTGCGTTCCCAAGTCAACTTTACCGAGATATCAGACTTCGGTTCATTCCGTACAAGTTAAACCATACACAGTCATCATAGTAATGCTCAACATAGGCCTTTAAGTATAGGTGGTCATAATAGGGGAGAGTAAAGAGCTAGATTATCAAAGTCTGAAAAATAAGGTACTATGATACTCTAACAAGATTAGTCGAATGGTTGTATTAGTGTACTGGGCATCGACAAAGGCTATTAGTATTTACATAAAGGGGAAGAGAAGAGAGAAACAGGACAAATCTAAACAACAAGTCAACAAGCCAAAGCTACCATTTCGACTGACAACCAATCTATCTATAGATTAAGAAGCGGTGCTGGGACCTGGAAGGCTGGAACCCTAGGCACCTAGAGATTGTTTCTTCATGCCATCTCTACTCACCAGGCGAGGGCTGCCTCTTTTCAACCCTCTGGATCCCGTCCTGCTCTCTCGGGTGAAAGACATTGGTCCAGGGGCAAGGAACACAAACACCGCCACATAGGAGTGATGCTAGTGATGTTAGATTGCCGACCATTATTCCCTGTGAGGGTTACCTTGGAACCATACGGCACAACTCCAAACTATGCTTGGCATCGTGATGGGAAAAATAGGCTGTCTGCCTGAGAACATAGGATGGCCGAGTTTAACATTGCTAGCATCTCGCAGAGGTGGAGGGTATACATCCCTGGAATTCCACCTATCCATATACTAATACTTTGCACAGATATCACAAACACATGGAGCAGGGGGAATGGAGAAATATGCTACAGACTAGAGACAAAGCTATATTCCTGGGCTTTCTCCTTCACTTGTGTGAGATGTGCAGAATCTTGTTGTAGGGCACCTGCTGACAGTACTTACTGCCGTACAAATAGTGCAAGTCCACAAGTACACCTTAATCGGGGTTGGAGCTAACCTTCGTAGTTTATGCCAGCACCCTTGGGTAGTATAGTCGCACCTCCTCCCGGACGGCTAAAATCCAACCAAAATCCGAAGCATCCGTCCGGGACACTAGATTATCTAGGACAACGGGGTAGGCTTTGGTGCAAAGAAATAATAATTAACATTTAGAGGATTTCATCCGGGGGAGTGGGGGATCCGGGAGAGTGGGGTCCGGGATAACAGGGTGCAACCATTCATAGAACTCAATAGCAGCAAGGAGATCCACAAGATATGAGCCCATATCAGAACCACTTCCTGAGAAAAAAGTCTACTCACGCTTTCTCTGGTTTTAAAACAACGTGTTGATTCATATGATTGGCCTTCAGGCGTTCAATGTGCGCAGAAAGACCATTACCGTCTCCAGCGACCTGTTACCCCTCCTATTCTTGAACACTATGTACAAGTTCCCGGCTTCACCAGTGAACACCAGAAGTTCAGCCTCGCAGAATGTTATCTCTGCCTGGACTATAAGGGATGCAGGCCAATAGAGGCTGCTGATGATGACAACAAATATACCTTTAGGCGGATCTTGGAAGGAGATTTTTGGCTTCCGAAAAATTCTGCTGTTAATCCAAAAGCCTCCATTACGAAGCGTATAAGGTGATCGAGCAGTTGATGAAAACTTGACACCCTGCTCGGTTGTATCTCGGAATAGGGGTTTAGGTATTTCATGCTTAGAACAATGTCGCACGAAGGAATCCATAAGCGCCGTCTTGCGATAACTGTATCATCAGGGTGAAGTTGTGAGAATAATGTTATAAAACAAAATAAAACAAGATGAAGTCTATTGATTAATGTTATCGAAAGACATCGTAGGGGCAAATTAAGGGAAGTCTAAGTCGAATAAATGAAGCTATAACACGAAGTCATAGAGTGAGGTTACATAAGTCAAAGTCAAATGAGAGAAGCAATAGAACAAAGTTTTAGGAATAACGTTATATAAGTCGAAACGGAACGGAGCCAGAAGGATAATGGGAGGAAGAGGAAGGAAAAAGACAACTCCACGTCTTACCACCTGGGTACCATCTCCAGGAAAGATTTCTAATGGTGCATTTTGCTGCTTCTGATAAGTTGAAATGCAAGTTTAGAATAGAATTGCCACAGTGTGCTACCATATTACCCCATTGAAAAAATGAAAAAAAAAAAAATCAAGCTAGTGACATGTTCTTCACAACCCATATGAAGCTAGCAACAGGCTCCAACAGCATATCTGACATCACAAAGATCAGGAAAAAGGTTAATCATCTAGTCTAATATAGTTGAAATTACAAATATCTAAAGGACAGGTAACAACAGGTGTACGAGTAGGTTTTAGAATCAACAAGAGATCATGTGGTAGGAAGGCTGAAAGTGTGGCATAAAGAGTATACTAGTGAGTGGAGTTGTGATATTGATTTTATTAAAATTTGATATCATAGACCACTATGAATCAAACAAGTAACTAGCTGCGGCCCACAACAAATGCCAAGCACTGACTAAAGAAACAACTGTACAACTCACAGGTGGGAAAAAAACTCTTTACTTCTATCTCTCTCTCTACTCTCATATACTGGCATACTCTCTTATGCTTTCTCTTATTGTTCCCCAACTAACTCGTATTTACATATACTTTCAACTAATATAAACTAACTAGTAGTAGAGGGAGGAGTATATATCAACCACAAGCAATAAACAATAAACTATGAATGACAAACTGCAAACCAAGTCCTCTGGTATCTCATAAGTCTTCTATCTTACTAGTAATCAAACAAGCTAATAAAAAGAAATGTAAACTTCTACTGTCTATCTATAGCTTTTACTAGGCTTCTCTCTTCTCTGCTCTTCTTCCATTAT